CCCCCGCCCCCTCCCTCGTTGCGGGGGTGAACCCAGGGGTGGCAGCACCCACCCCCCAGGGCACCTGTGTGATGGCCCTGCTCCAGCAGTGTCTAGCCCGAGCTATGGCATGTGGCCATTGTCCCTTGTGTCATTGCCCAGCACTATCAGAAGGGTTTGGGTCCATCATCCCCGCTGCAGCCCCGGGAGCCTCGTAGCGCTGGCTGTCAGCCCGGGGGTTGCTGCTTTTCCACCCCTGGCAGTGAGCCTTTTCCAGCCCTGCCAGTCTGTCTGTCCAGCCCAGACCTCCCCAGAGGGACAGCTTTAGGAGCCATACACAAAAGCATCCCTAAAGTTAAGGTGTGCTACACCCACAGCCCCTCCGCCCACCCCATGTCGGTGGCCAGGTCAAAGTCAGCAGCGTCTTTGCCTGGGGACAGGGGACAGGACCCCAGCCAGTGATGTAGAGGCTGAATAGTCCCAGCACATACTTTGTTTTCTTTTCTAAGAAAGGCGGGGACAGATGTCCAAAGACGAACTGCAAATATTTGCAGGACTGATAAGGAAGGCTAGTTTAACTGTGACTTGTAAATAAAACCTGGCAGTGATTTGTGGCTGAAGTACATTCTTTCAGAGTGAGTTTCCAGGGCAACTGCAGGGTTTTGAAAGCAGCCTGGAGAGCGCATGGTAAAAGTGGATGGATATACTGGAGTGGGGGGAAAAAAAGATAAAAAGAAGATTTAAAGACTTTTAATCTACCTTGTAAATTAAGAGCGCTGAATGCTGATAAAGGGAATGCAAAATCTGGGGGTGGTGTATAGAGCAATCACCTATGGAGGCTGTGCGGGCAGCCGCTCCCGGAGAGCGACGGAGAGCGTGGTGACCATCTGGGGGGTTTCTCCCAGGTTAAGCCCCGTTGGCAGCCCTGGTCCCTGGCGGAGACAGCAAGGATGAGAGTGGCGGTGGTGGGTGCGGGCATCACCGGGCTGACGTCCACCAAGTGCTGCCTGGATGAAGGGCTGGAGCCCACCTGCTTCGAGCAGAGCAAGGACATCGGGGGGCTCTGGCGCTACACGGTGAGCACCCGTCCCTGCTTTCCATGGGAGCTGCAGCTTTGCAGGATGGAGAACCCATCGAGCTGGGCTCCAGCAGGTGGGGAAGGGATGTGGGAGGTTGCTGGGTGCTGACCTCTCCCAGCTGTGCTCCCCAAAACCATGGGAAGGGGCACAGGGGGACAGTCCCCATCCCAGGGCGCAGGGCTGATGCACCCTGGGGTGTGATGGCAGGAGCACATTGAGGCCAGCCGGCCAAGCCTCTACCCATCAGTTGTCAGCAACACCTCCAAGGAGATGTCGGCGTTTCCCTACCCTGAGGACTTCCCGGTGTTCCTGCCCAACGCCCGGCTGCTGGAATACCTCCGGCGCTACACTGAGCACTTTGGCCTCCAAAAGCACATCAAGTTTGGGGTGAGTGAGGGGTATCCCAGCGCTGCCCCACTTCCCATGCATGCCGGGCACTGGTGGTGACTCCGCTTGGTTTCCACGTTTCAGACCACTGTTGTCAGCATCCGGAAACGTCCCGATTTTGCCACCACGGGCCAGTGGGATGTGGTTACGGAGGCGGATGGGAAGCAGACATCGCACATCTTTGACGCCGTTATGGTTTGCACTGGCAATTTCCACGAGCCATCCCTCCCCCTGCACGCTTTCCCTGGTACGGTACGCAGCTACATGTGGTTACCTGCTTCCAGGGGCTGGGGGAAGAAGAAGGATTAGCAATTCCTTGGGGAAAATGCTTCTTTCCTTTTTTTCCTTCTGCTTTTCAAACCTCCTGGCATGAACAACCGTGTGTACTACTGCTTCAGCAGCCTTGTTTCTGCAGGCACTGCTCACTCCAGATCGAACTTCCAAGGTGGGATGGTTTAACCTCGGAGAAACTGTCTGCATAGTATGTGAGATGGGACAGGGTCCTCTCAGTGAAGCTCCATCATCTTTGACAGGGCTGTATCCGTCGCTGCTGTGATGAATCTCCCCAGTTCTCAGAGCAGAGAGGGTTGCCTTGTCACCAGCATCACCAAGCGCTTCTGAAGCCGCTTGTAGAACAGGAGGTCTGAACCTGCCCGAGTCCCCAGTGGCCACTGATCACACTTCCTTGCTCTTGCAATCTGGATTGTTCCTACGCCAGTTCTCCTGACAAAACCCACGAATGCTCAAGTCATTAAAAGCTTTGTTTCTTTCTCCCCAAGGCATCGAGAAGTTCCAAGGGCAGTACTTTCACAGCCGCCAGTACAAGCATGCCGATGTGTTTCAGGGGAAGCGCGTCCTCGTGGTCGGCATGGGCAATTCGGGAGTGGACATCGCAGTGGAAGCCAGCCGTGTAGCTACAAAGGTACCACCACCACCCAGCCGCCCCCGCGGTTCA